ACCCACAAGGATCGCTCTTGTCCAGAGGATAGAGAGAGTGGCTGCATAGGGCAACTGAAAACAGTTCTCTGGAACATGAATAGAGAGTAGTGTGGGAGTGGAGGGTCCTTACTTCCACTGAGTTAATGCTGGCAAGAGGTGTGTGTGTGTGTGTGTGTGTGTGTGTGTGTGTGTAGTTGAGACTTATCTTTAAGCCAATGGAAAGCCAGTAGAACTTTTTCAGCTTTCTATTTTGAAGTAATTTTAGGTCTACAGAAGTGTTGCAGTTGCATTACAAAGCGGTCTTGTATACCCTTCACTTGAGGTTTGCCTGATGTGAACATCTTACATAACCATGGTACAATGAACAAAGAAATCAACACTGGTTCAGTGCTATTAACTAACTTACAGACTTTATTTGGTTTTCAGCAGTTTTCCTGCTACTATCTTTTTAGTTTCAGGACTCCATTTGCATTGCGGTGTCTGTCCCAGTGGAGGATTTTAAACAGGAGTGAGGCATGGTCAGATTTACAATATAATTTTGAAAGAAATGTATTTCGATTTGGGGAAACTGGAGGAAAAATCGAGTCAAGGCAGGAAGCCAAAGGACGAGCTGATCTGGCCCTGTCATGTACACCATGAAAGGTATGAGGTGGCCTCTGCAGCTGGTGAACTTTGCCTACCAGAGCACGCTAATTCTCTTTCTGATGTTCCAAAGTGCAGATTTTGAAGCACGGCTTAAATGGAGCATGATTCCACTGGATCACAGTATTCCTTTGTCCCACCACTTAATTTTGCTGTGAACACATTGAAGAGAGCTGGAACAAGGATGGGAACTCCAGCTTGGATATGCTTAACTCGAAGCGGTTAGAAACTTGGACAACTTTATTAAAGATCTAGTTGTTGCATTAGTCTTTTATTTTTTTTTAATGTGTTGGAAGCACCTGCTTTGATAAAGTGCCATTTCTTGTTCTTCTCCCCTTTGCAATGTCATGGTTTACTCTCTCTCTAGGTATTGTTTCCAAAGGTAGTTCCTAGCTCATGACTAAATGGTGAATTAAGTGCCATGGACAAAAAGAAAACAGGATAAGGAAGGTAGTATATGTGTGTTTGTCTATTTCACATGGGGTGATCAGGAAGGGCCTTGCTGAGAAGATGATTTTGTGTGTGTATGTGGTACTGGGCATTGAACCCAAGGATGCTCTACCACTAAGCTACGTCCCCAGTCCTTTTTATTATAATTTCAGACAGAGTCTTGCTAAACTGCCCAGGTTGAGCTCAAACTTGGCACCTTCCTACCACAGCCTCCTGGGTAGAGGGGATCACAGGTATACGCCACCACACACAGCTTGTTCCAGAAATGTTCTTAATTGATGCAGCTGGAATTTTTTTTTTCGGGTACTGGGTATTGAACTCAGGGCCTTTGCGCTGAGCTATATTCCTAGTCCTCTTTATTTTTTGAGACAGAATGTCCATAAGTCACTAAGTTGCACTAAATTGCCTCTCAGAGTGCTGGGATTACAGGCCTGGTTTGTAGCTGGAAGTTTAACAGCTACATTTTATTTTATTTTTATTTAATTTTTTTTTTTTGGGTACTGGGGATCGAACTCGGGTCCTTGTGCTTGCACAGCAGACGGCGAAACCACTGAGCTAAATCCCCGGCCCAACAGCTACATTTTAAAAGGACTTTATTTCTGTTTTTTTTTGCTATGGTTTGAATCAATCATGTCTCCTAAAAGGCTTACGTGTTCCCAAAGGGGAGGCTTTGGAAAGGTGACTGGATCACGGGGGTCCCATACTCACCAGTGGATTCATCCTTTGATGAGGTCATAGCTGAAGGTGCCATGAGGAGGTGGGGTCTGGTTGGTGGAGGAAGGGCAGCTTCCTCTCTCTCTGGCTCATTGTTTTGTCTCTGCTCCCCACCTCCCATGGACTGAGGACCCCTCCTGTGCCAAGCCAATTTTGTCTTAGAGCCACTATCTATGGACTGAAACCTGAACCTAAAGAAACTCCTTTTTTTACTCCTTTTACTACCATTGTACTGGAGAGCTACATTAGATATCAGACTCTCTTTCAAACTTCATCTTTTTTTCTATTAGCTTTGTGACCCAGGAGAAGCCAATGAAATTTTTCTTCTCTTGTCCTGTTACTTCACACCAAATGGGGAGATCAATAACTAACCTACCTGTTTGACATGGTCATTAAAGAATCACGTGATGTAACAGATGAGAAAGAACTCGGAACATTCTGTTGCTCTATAAAAACAGGGTAGGGCCAGGGTTTTAGCTCAGTGGTTTTGCCGCCTGCTGCGCAAGTGCAAGGACCCGAGTTCAATCCCGGGTACCAAAACACCCAAAAAAACCAAGAAAAACCCCCCCAAAAAGAGGGAATAGGACAAGGGGTGGGGGTGGGGTTTAACCCTGCCAAAACAAAAAAGAAAGAAAAGGGTGGTCATAGTGAGAATTATCCTTATTGTCTACACTGACTCTCATTTTTTGATTACATCTTCTTATGATTTGCAAATAAGGTAAAATATGTGAAAATGCTTACGGCATTCATCTTTTCCTTTATTCTGAATCTATGTATTATGCTCTTACTAAGCTCCTCGATCTGAACAAAAGAAAGAGAGGAAGACAAGGAAGAAATGGATCCTGTGCTCAAGAAGAAAGAGAAGAGACAAGTAGGGGGAGAGAGAAGTAAAGTTATTAAAATGAGTAAAGTGATTTGCATTCTTCTATCAAAATGCCTCTAACAGGAAGGAGAACCCGTATCTTCCTGCAGTTTGAGGCATAGCCTATACTAGTAAATGAATTTTATTTATGTATTTATTTCTTGGTACTGGGGATTAAACCCAGGGCCTTGAGCATGCTAAACAATCACTCTACAACTAGCAGGGATTACAGGGGGTGCACGCCTGTAATCCCAGCACTATGGAAGCCAAGGAAGGAGGATTGCAACAGTGAGCCCAACCTGGGAAATTCAGCACGATCCTGTCTGGAACAAAATAAAACAAAACAGAACACCAAAAAATATGGTCTGGGAATATAGTTTGCTAAGAAAGCCCTGGGTTCAATCGCCAGTACCACACATGCACATGGACGCGCTCACACACACACACACACACACACACACACACAATCACTCTACCACTGAGCCACACCTTCAACCCTTTTCCAAACATTTTTATTTTGAGACAAGGCTTTGCTAAGTTGTCCAGGCAGAGTCTCAAGCCCAGTGGGTTACTCCCACAAGGCTGCCATAGGGTTTAAGCATCTTGTTCGAGGTGAGGAGGCAAAAGATGAACACGGTTTGGACAGGCTCGACTGACAAACTCCTAGACTCTCCTACTGCGCATCGAGTATGAGGCTTCTGGATCACGGTCATGTTGCCCTCAGGTGGACGGCCCACAGGGCCTGCCCATCTGCTCAGCTTGATGCTCAGCAGGTGGCTGGAGCTAGTGACATTAACAGATGGGCTCAATGGTGGCACTAGGAGGGCTTTGACTTGTACAAGTGTTGAGATCTCTCAGGGTTGGACCTCCCTAGCGTCCAGCCCTCAGCCTGTGGCAGTCCGGTCACTTAGCCTCCTTTTCATTTTAATATATATATACACTTTTTCACTCAAAGGCAGCCCAGAGAGTAGTGGTTATGTTCCAGTGAACACAAGTTTTTATTTACGCTCTGGTTACTTCCAACCGTGACCACTCACTCTCAAGCTTCCAGGGCCCTTTTCCAATTCCCCTTCACAAAGACAGTGCCCTTCTAATCCTGCTAATCTGACCCTCAAATCTTTACATGGGCTGCTCCAATGTTCTTAGTCTAGTTCAATCTTTTCACTTGCAAAACTCCCCTACTTCTGAGCATTCATACATTTTCTTTTATTTCTCTGACAACTTTCCCTAGGCCTGTAGTCCAAGAGTTAACTGGCTAGGTTTCTACATGGCTAGGCTAAGGGCCAGCTCCCTGCCTTTCTTCTGTGTTGAATTACCTCCTGCCAATCACAAGAAGTGAATCTTGAGAGAGGGAACTTGGACAGAAAGGCACTTAGTGATGTGAACGAGTTTAAGAGGAAACAAATGACCTCTTGTTCGCCCAAGTTCTTCGAGCGCAAGGGGGTAAAATAATTAAGCTCTTCTATTACCTTTGTCATATGATATCTATAATACCCTCTTGGTCCAAATGCAAGGACTTGGCATTATAGGAAACTATAGAGAGCAGGAGACAAGGGTGACAAGGGTGACAAGGATTCTTACAGAGGTCACAAACAAGCCGCTAAGACAAGGAAGGCTTTTATTCAGTATCTTAAAGCAGACCTCATGCTCCCTCCTCCTTTAGTCTTTTCCCTTTCCTTCTTCCTTCCCCAGGCCAGCAATGTGAGCCACATATGTAATTTTAAACTTTCTAGTAGCCACATTAAAAAAGGTGAACGTAAGGACCCGAGTTCAGTCCCCGGTACCAACCCCCCCCCCCAAACAAAAACAAAAAAAGGTGAACTTGTGTTTTATTTAAAATATTATCCCAATGTCATCAATATTTGAATGATTAAGATGCTTGATATTGTCTTTGAAACCCAGCATGCATTTTAATTTACAGAACATCAAACTTGAACTAGCTGCATTTCAAGTACCCGACAGACAGCCACAGGACTTAGACCTCATGGCCCTGCAATCACGAGGGTGGTAACACTGCTAGTTTGGAACTGAGACACAATCTCCCGAGGAAGCAAGGCCCCGTGACATTGAGATCTCTCAGCCAGCTTCCCTTCACACCCCACCCCCACCCAGGCCCAGCAGGGCTGCAATTAGGGCAGAGCGTGAAGCCCGGCCAGAACTGCGGGAAAGTCCAGAGCAAGGCGTGGGGGGATGGGTGCTGGGCGGAAAGCGCGGCGGGGACCCACGCACATGCGCACTCCTCCCACTCTCCCCTCCGGGCATCCTAGCAACCGGGTTCCAAGCCAGTGTCTTTTTTCCCACCCGGAGTTCTCGTCCCGCCAACCAGTCTCAGCTCTTCCCTGTCTGTGGTTCTTCCTAGTCACTTCCGCTCCCCCTTCCACCGGTTCTGATCTCACTCGGGGTGCTTGTTGCCCAGCACCTGAACCGCCTCCTAAAATGGGTCCTCGTGGTTTTGACCAGGAAACCATCCTCTGGCGCCTCTGACCCCACCTCTTCGGGCTGAAGTGGCTGCTGGGCCTGGGGCTGCTCCTGTGGCCTTACTGGGCCCCTGGCGCGGCTTTCTGCCTCCCCGGATTGGCCCCGGTCAACTTCAGCAAGGCGGGTCTAGAGACCGCATCCTGTCAGGTGAGGACCGCAGGGGACTGAGAGGTGAGGGAAGGCTTCGGGTTGAGGCCTGGGGCGGATTCGGGCCCGCAGGTTGGTGGCGCGTGGCCTCGGACTCGGAACGCCCGAGCCCCTCTCTGGGGCTGCCTAGGTCTTAATCTCCGATCTTCCCACTTCGCGGATCCGGGTGTCTTTTTCCCTCTCTCCATCTCCTCCACCCTCACAGTTTCTCGCCCTCACAGCTCCACCTTCCCCTCCCTTCTCAGTTCTCCCCGCTCCCTTTCTGCCCGGTCTTCCTCCTCTCCACCTGCCCCTTCCCCTAGGCTCCGCCCCTGCTCGGCCCCGCCTCTCCTTTCATCTCCGCCACTTCCCCACCCCATCTCTCCTCCTACCCACGCCCCATCCCCGCCCCTTCAGCTCGGCCCCTCCCCTCTCCCCGCCCACCCACCGCCTCAGTGCTACCTCTTTGTTCTTTTTCTTTTCACCTGTTTTGGGGCCATCCTTACTCTCCCTCTCATGTCTTTCACTCTCCTCTTCCTCTGTACTCTTTCCTTGCCCCTTCTCCTTTTCCGCTCCACCTCTTCTCCAGATTGCTCATTCCTTCGCCGCCTCTTAGCTGCTCCCCACCCTCAGCTAGCTCTCCGCCTCCGACTCCTTCCCCAGTCTTGCAGCATCGCGGCCTCCTCCTCTGTCCACCCCCTTTCTGCTTCGCACGCTCGTTTCGTGGTCTTTCTCAGCTACATCCCTACCATGTTTCCGTCATCGCTCACTCCTATGGTCTCACATTTTATTCCCTTAATTCTTGTTAATCCCCTTCGGTCTCCTGGGTCTTCCCTCTGCAAACACCAAGATAACGCTGTTTACTTTGAGAGGCTTGTGAGAAAACGAGACAACGCACGAAGATGACTTAAAATGACACTTTCCACATAGTAAGCTTGCAATTAATAGAACTTAACTATTACTAGTTTTCTTTAGCCAGCGATTTCTGGCATAATAACTTCCGTGGATTCCCCAACTCTTAGTAATTTTTTTTTCTTTTGGTAGTCTTTTATTCTCAGTAAGTACAAGTTTCCCAGTAATTTCTTGACTCCCTTGGTAGTCTTCTTTGGTTAATTATATATATATTTTTTTGGTACCGGGGATCGAACTCGGGACCTTGCGCTTGCGAGGCAGGTGCTGGAACCACTGAGCTAAATCCCCGGCCCCTTCTTTGGTTCGGGAGCTGGAGGTGAAGGTCAGTGGTAGAACACTTACACAGCATGCGCAAGGTCCCGAGTGTGGGTGTCCCCAGCACCACAAAAAATTGTTTTGAGAGAGTGATTATTCAAGTCAAAAGGAATTAAGGAATAAGGCTTATTTTCTGAGCTCTACTTGCCTAATTTAGTGTATGGGAGTGTGTCCTGGTAGAAGGTACCACAAATACCGTGTGAGGTTGACTGCAGACTCAGCCAACTTGAAAGTTTCAGTTTGATAATTTTCTCGCCATGTAGCCCAGGCTGGCCTCGAACATGGCGATCCCCCTACCTCAGCCTCCCGAGTGCTAGGGGATTTTAAAGACCATCTTGAAACCTGGAGCTTGCCTTTTCTTCTTCCTCTTCTTGCCTCGTGCATGCCACGCCGGCGCTGTGCCACTGAGCTACATTCCCAGCCCTTGCCTTTTGTTCTAGCCAACAACTTGCCAAGCACACGTAATGTAAAAAATAGTGCTTTTTTGGGCTGGTGATTTAGCTCAGTGTCATCGAGCCTGCCTGGCAAGTGCAAGGTCCTGAGTTCGATCTTCCCACTTCCCCACAAAAAAAGAAAAAAAAAAAAAGAAATAGTGTTTTCTTATAGTTTATATTTGTTTTTTCCCTGATTGTTGGTATCTAGCTTTTTTTCAGCATGCTTCTTAGAAAAGAAACATGATTTTAAAACTTTTTCAGCATGCTTAGAAAAGAAACATGATTTAAAATTTTTTTTTTAGTGAGGGTCTCAGTATATAACCCAGACTGGCCCAAAACATTTGATCCTTCTGCCTAAGCTTCCCAAGTGCTGGGATGACAGGAATGCACCACCAAACTCAGCTAGGAAGCTTTATCTTTAACCATAATGATTAGGTGGAATTTTTTTTTTTTTTTTGGTACTGGGGATCAAACTCGTGTCCTTGTGCAGCAGGCAGCGAAACCACTGAGCTAAATCCCTGACCCAGGTGGAATTCTTCTTTCTCTAAGCTCTTATTTTTAGGCTGTTACTCTCATCTCTAAATGTGTTCCACATTTTTGAGATTGCACCTTTTATTCATTAGCGAGTCTCTTATTATTATATGTAACACTCCAAATTTCCTTAATTCAGTAGTATCTAACTCCTTGACTTTTTTTTAACTTTTACTATTACAAAACCCGTAAGATACATGGTAGAAGTTCAAAAAATGTGGCTAGAAGCCGGGTCACCCTGAGTGAGTTCAAGGATAGCCTGAACTGCATGGTGAGACCCTGTGTCAAAGAAAAAAAAAATGGCAATAGGCAAAAGTAAGAAAAATATTTCTAACATCTAGAAAATTACTACTCCTGATATCTTACCATATAGTCTAGATTTTTTCTTTTTTTTTTTTTTTTCTGGGCCATGATAAGATTTAAATTGCTTTTGTCATTTGCTGTAGCTCTTTGATAAAAGGCTCATTTTTTATACAGAAGTTTAAGTATGTCACATCATCTATAGTCACTCTCCTATGAAATATCATTTTTTTTTTTTTTTTTTTGGTACTGGAGATCGAACTCTAGTCCTTCTGCTTGTGAGGCAGGCAGTGGAACCACTGAGCTAAATCCCCGGCCCAGTCTAGGTTTTTTTAATGCATGTTCATGTACACATACATTTTTAGTAGGCTTTATTTTTATTTTTTTATTTTTTGGCTTTTTTTTTTTTTAAAGGAGTTCTAGGTTCACAGTAAAATTGAGCAGAAAGTATAGGGAGATCCCAAGTACTTTCTGCCTCTACCTACTTGATCTGCTATTGACATCCCGCACCAGAATAGTACATTTATTACAGTTGTTGAACCTACATTGGAACATTATTGTCACTAGAAGTTTGTAGCTTATATTAGGGTTCCCTCTTGGTGTTGGCCATTCTATGGATTTGGCAAGATGTGTAATGAATGACCTGTGACTACTCTGTTTTGTTTTGTTTGGTACTGGGGGTCGAACTCAGGACCTTCCGTTTTCGAGGCACCGGAACTACTGAGCTAAATCCCTGGCCCACACCGCTGATCTTTTCATTGTCTTCATGCTTTCCCCTTTTCCGGAGTATCATGTAGTGGGATTATACAGTATAGAGCCTTTTCAGATTGGCTTCTTCACTTAATAATGTGGATTTAAGCTTCTTCCATGCCTATTTTTTGGTGCTGGGGATCAAATCCAGGGCCTCACTGTGTTAGGTAAAGACTATGTATACCTAGCTCTTTCCATGGTTTTTTGTGGCTTGATAGCTGTTTCTTTTTAGCACTGAATAATAGTCTATTGTCTCGATGGACCACTTGATCCATTCACCTACTGAATCTTGGTTACTTCCAAATGTTGGCAGTTATGAATAATGTTTCTATGAACATTCATGCGCAGGTTTTTGTGTGGATGTGAGTTCTCAGCTTGTTTGGGTAAATACTAAGGAGCACAATTGCTAGATTGCCTGATGAGAGTATGTTTAGTTTTGTAGGAAACTGCCAAACTCTTCCAAAATGACAGTACCATTTTGATTACCACTGGCAATGACTGAGTGTCCATATGCATCTTTTTACCAAAATAAAATCATGGTATACATGTTGTTTTATAACTTGCAGTTTTCTTTCATTAACTCCATCTCTCCATATCAGTACGTTTTAATCTCATTTATTATCCAGTTCATAGATTTCCCCAGCTATCTCCAAAATATGGAAACCAGAATTCAATCTAGGACCACAAATTGCATGTGGTTGTTACCATCTTCTGGCTCTTTTAATCAATCATAGTTCTTTTCCCATTTTCTTTCCGTGACACTGACTGATAAAATTCTTAACCATTAAACTTTAACCCCTTGAAAAGTAATTTGAAATATGTATTGAAGTCTATAAAATTGTTCATCCTTTTTTGAGTGCAATGATCTCATTTCTAAGAATAATATGCAAGGCACAGGCAGATGAGGAGTTTTCTCAGGGAATGTCCCCTCTGTCTGGATCCTTTAGCCTCACATGCCTCTCTAGATGGGGCCAATATTATCAGTTTATTGGAGATTCTTTTAGGGATTTTAAGAATATGCAGGCAAATGCATATTTGTTTGTTTTTCTTCTTTTTTCTACACAAATGTCAAGCTCTTCTCATTACTTATTTTACTCATTTAATAACAGAGCTTGAAGATTGTTTTATATCAGTGTATAAAGCACACCCTCATTTTTTAATGGTTGCATAGCATTGCATTATATGGGTGCACTACAATTTACTGTTTCTTATTTATCTATTTAGCTTATTTTCATTCCTTTGATCTTACCAAACATTGCTGCAGAAGAGATTATAATTTTAGAAAAACTCCTAGCAATACAATCACTAGATCAAAGAGTATATGCTATTTTGATATTGGTAAATTTCTTTTTTCTTTTTTTCTTTTTTGAGACAGGGTCTTGCTGTGTAGCTCTGGCTGGCCTTTAGCTCACTGTGTAGCTCAGGCTGGCCTCAAACTCGAGGCAATCCTCCTGCCTCAGCCTCCCAAGTGCTGGGATTATAGACGTGTCCCACCATGCCCAGCTTTTGCTAAATTTCTAAATTACTTGTTCATTAGAACATACCAACAGTATGTGCATGTGAGAGTATCTGTTTCTCCATGGCTCTACAACAAAATATTATGAAATTTTTAGATCTTTGATGATTTGATAGCTGAAAAAATGTTCACTGTACTTTTAATTTGCATCACCTTATTAAAAATAATTAAAAAGCATATGTATTTTACTTTCTGTAAACTACATATCATTTGTCCATTTTTTGTAAAACAATATGCCATTAATTTTTTTTAATTTTTAAAAGTACATATTTGCAGTACATAATGATTATATTCATTATAAGGAATTGGTACATGTACATAATATATCAATTCTTTTTTTCCACTCCCCTCCATCGCCTTTTATTTTGCAAGAATCAGATTCATTTATCTTATAAAATAAGTCTTTATAAAGTTAGTTATTATGTATACAGATTAACAACCAGACTAATAGGCAAAAAAACATACAAAACACATTAAGAGACTGGGCCGGGGATTTAGCTCAGTGGTGCCACCACCTGACTCTTAATCACAAGGTCCTGAGTTCAATCCCCAGTACCAAAAAAAGAGAGAGAATGATACTAAAACAAAGTATAGTTTTAGATACATTGTCCATGCTGAATTATGGTAACTTTTTTCTCTCTTTTTTCCTATTATCTGTTTTTTATTTTGTACTTTATTAATATATTGAGTTTTTCATACAAGAGAAATCATGTGATATTTAAACTTGTGTGTCTGAGTTACTTTCCTTAACATTATGATCTTTAGGTGCATCCATTTTCCTACAAATGACTTAAGGTTATCTTTTATGTCATTTGCCCATTTTTCTAGTAGATTGAACATTTAAAAAATTGAATTGTGAGGACTTTTTTTTATAGTACTGAGATTTGAACCCTGGGCCTTCACACTGAGCTGCATTCTCAGCCTTTAAATATTTTTTTTTTTTTATTTTGAGAACTTCTCACTAAATTGCTAAGTTTCTCAGACTAAGCTCAAACTTGCTATCAGCCTCCAGGGTTCTGTGAATACAGGTATATTCCACCATGTTTGGCTTTGTGAGAAGTCTTTTTTTCTTTCCCTGAGACAGGGTCTCACTATGTAGTCCAGGCTGGCCTTGAACTTGTGGTGATCCTCCTGCCTCAGCCTCTCCAGTGCTGGTTTACAGGTGTGCACCACCACGCCAGGCGTGGTTTTCACATTTAAGTAAATTAACATTTCCTCGTGTAATAGATGAAGTGAGGATCCAACCTACCTTTTCTTTTCCCAGGTCACTGACCAGTTTTCATAACACCATATATTGAACAATACATCTTTTCTGTACTTGGTATGAGAAATCATCAAGATTCTTTTAAATACAGTAAGCTTCCAATTCATATTTTAAAATAAAGTCCAAATCTTAGGTTATTTTCCAGTAGTACTTTGTCAGTTTTGGTATTCTACATGAGAATTACTATTCCTTTTCCTTTCATTTCCTTCTCTTCCCTTCCTTTCCTTTTTCCTTCCTTCCTTTTTTTCTTTCTTAAAAAATGAGGCTTGAATTACATGCCAGATAAGCACTCTACCACTGAACTATGTCCCCATCCGTTTACATTTTATTTTGAGACAGAGTTGCTAAATTGCCCAGGCTGGCCTTGAACTCCAGATCCTCCTGCCTCAGCCTCCTGAGTAGCTGGGATTACATGTGTGTGCCACCATGCCTAGCTTTATTATCCTTTTAAATTATTTTGTTTCTTTTTAGAAATTTGAATATGTTGCAGTTGCAAATTTCAGATTTGATTGCACTAAATGTGGATAAAATTTTCTTGTTTTATGGAGCCACAGTGAGATTTCTTATGTTTTTATTACTAAACTCATAATTTTCTTCATTCTCTTTTTTAAAAAAATCTAACACATGTAAAGCTTATAGCAGATTTTTTAAAAAAGCAGTGTGTAGAATTTTGAGGAAGGACCCAAATTCTGCTGTTTTAGTGCTTTAATATTTCCAATCTGGTCAACTATCAGGAATATAGCTGAGATCAACAGAAGTAGACAAAAACGTCCTATGAAGAGCCAGAATAGATGTCCTGATGCTCATGCACTTAATCTGTTGCTCTCAGATACTGTTTCAGACATTGTTTTAGCCAATCTGTTTATGCCACAATGGAATGCCTGCTCTGAAACAGATTGAGAAGACAAAGGAGAAGGAGGAAGCATCAGAACAGCTGACAGCCAAAAAAGGAAGGAGACAAAAAAACTTCACAAAGGGGCTGGGAATTTAGCTCAGTGGTTCTGCCACCGCCACGTGCCTCGCAAGCAGAAGGTCCCAAGTTCGATCCCTGGTACCAAAAAAACTTCACAAAGTTTGGTTGGGGTGAAGGGGCGCGGGTAGTAGCAGTGTGGATGGTCATCTATCACCACATAGTTTTGGGGCAAATAGTTCTCCTTATCTATTTGATCGGAGAAAGTCACTGAGTCAAAACAGGTACAATGATTGACGTGCAAAATGACCCTGAGTCATCAAGGCAGTTTAAATCATGAGCATTATGCTCTCTTAAGTATAGGAAAGGATGAAGTGTATTTTATTTATTTATTTATTTATTTATTTATTTATTTATTTATTTATTTGGTACCGGGGATCGAATTGGGTCCTTCTGCTTGCAAGGCAGGCGGCGAAACCACTGAGCTAAATCCCCAGCCCTGAAGCGTATTTTAGATAGCTTTCATCATCTCAGGTCTCTAAAAAGTTCTGTACCCTCTATTCTCTCTCTCTCTCTCTCTCTCTCTCTCTCTCTCTCTCTCTCTTTCTTCCTTTCTTTCTTTGTTTTTTTGTTTCGAGACAGGGTCTCACCATGTAGTTTAAGCTGGCCTGGAACTCACTAGGTAGCCCAGGCTGGCCTCACTTCACAGTCTTCCTGCCTCAGCCTCCTGAGTGCTGAGATTAAAGGTGTGTGCCACCATGCCTGGCAATATGAAACCTTAAAACTGAAAAGAGAATTTGATGAGTATGTGTGTTTTTCTGGGGAGGAGGGGCCCAGCTTTACCATATTCTGAAAGGGTTCTGTAATTAAAAGGTTAAGAATGGCTGAGGTATCTGAAAAATTTATGCATCCGGAGAACCAATAATATTAGACAAATGAAATGTTATGAATTTATAGCTATACTGTTTAAAAATTTATAACTATACCCAATTATAAATTCATAATAGTTATAAATTCATAATGACACAGTTATAAATTGATGGTACCAACAGGCCTAATTACCTTTCAGTTCCTTCATTAGATATTTTGCAAGTGTTACATCACTTTACAGTATTAATAAATGTTCTTTTTCCTTCTCTTAGTTGTCACCGGAACTATTTGTAAACAGTGTATTCAGTGTAATCTGCATGACCCTATGCCTAGGGTAGGTATGTGTAGCATGACATAACTGCCTTAAATTTGTTGGGTTTTTTTCTTTTTGAGATGGTGTCTCACTGTGCAGTTTAGGGTGGCCTCAGACTCACAAGTGTTGGGATTACAGGAGTGAGCCACCATACCCGGCTACCTTAAGTTTTTAAAGACAATGAATAAAAGTCCTGAATATATTAAGGAATGTAATTTTGTAATAAGGGTAACAAGAAAAAATAATTAAAACAGAGAGCTTTCAGTGTGAGGCCAGTGCTTAAAAAATTAGAAAGTTGGGCTGGGGATTTAGCTCAGTGGTTTCGCTGCCTGCTGCACAAGCACAAGTGTTCGATACCCGAGTTCGATCCCCGGTACCAAAAAAAAAAAAATTAGAAAGTTGTTATACTTGATTTTTATTTCTAAGAAAGGCAAATTATGAATTTACCATGCTTTGTTTCTTTTCTTTTTTTTTTCCAGTACTGGGGATCGAACTCAGGACCTTCCGCTTGCGAGGCAGGCATGATGGCACTGAGCTAAATCCCTGGCCCAAATTTACTATACTTTGGACTTTCAAAAAATATCTTGATATACTTGTATGTAGCTTATTTTTCCAACATGGAGTAGATAGATTTATACCAAAAATTTTAATGTTTGAAAGTGCTTTGTTTAGGAGTGAGCTGTTATTACATGATTAAGTCATTAATCATTTTAGAATAATAATAAATTATATACTTTAAAAAATGATTGTTTCTCCCTTTGGTGTTAATTTCTTCTAATAAAAATCATTTTTTTTTTTGCCAGGCATGGTAGTGCACACCTGTAATCCTAGCACTCGGGAGCCTGAGGCAGAGGATTGAGGCCAGCTTGGGATACATTGCGAGACCAGGTTTAAAAAAAAGATTCCAGCCCTTCTAATTTTTTATTTTATTTTGAGATAAACACTTACTATGTCACTAAGTTGTCCAGACAGGTATTAAACTTTGATCCTTCTGCCTCAGCCTCCCAAAGTGCTAGGGTTACAGGTATTGACCACCATGCCCAGCTCAAGTCTGATTTTGTTACGATATCAGATAGAAATGTAGGGTGTTAGTATGAATATTTACTATTTATTTTATTTTCCACTTAAGTGATCTTCTATACAAATTTACTGAAAGGTAGCCGTCATTCATTTAAACTAGGAGCCCTTTGATTTGTGAGTGTGTGGGAATGTATTATTTGTGGAGAACCTTGTTCTTTAAGATTCTCTTTGAGAAGAACTGACAATTATAGCTTCTAAATGTCTCAGGTTAGAATTAGTACATGGTTTACACGATTGTTTGCTTGTTTTTATGTAATCTGAAGTTTAACTGTGAAAAAATTTTGTTTTTTTAAAGATTGTTAGTATCTTCTTCAAAAAAGTTCAAAGAGGTCCAGGGATTTAGCTTAGTGGCGCTGTGCCTGCCTTGAAAGCAACTGGAAGGTCCTGAGTTCAATCCCCATACCAAAACCAAAACAAAACACCAAATCAGTGGAGAGGCTAGATGAATTACAATGATCAATTTCTTTGATGATATTTTTATCTTGCTTGAACCATTTCTCTTTTAGTTTTGACTTCTGTCAATACTTTGGAGACCAAAGACCTGAACGTCTTGGACAAGTACTATCTGAAGAATGGAAAATATCATCTCCTTATAAGGTTATTCAGCTGATCTTATTATTAAATCTTATTTCTCTTTTTAAAAATCTTATTTCTAAATGAATCTTCTCAAAACTGACTACAGTACTTAAAATTGTAGCAGACTTTGTTTTAAAGGGAAAGAAAAATAAAAGGTAGAATCTAGTATTACCAAAAGAATGCATTAAAATATGCTCTTTCAGGTTTTATTTCAAGTTTTATTTTTGCTTTATAAATTGTTCATTTACTGTTCTGTGCATATTTTGTGTGGGGTGATATAAGAAGAAAGAAGATGTAATTTGATCCTTGGAATATATATTGAGTTTGTCTTCAGTATCTTAATAGATACAGGGATAAAAATGTTTCCATAAGCAGTTATGGTGATGAGGTATTAACCTTTATTTTTTTCTAACTTATTTGAAGTATAATTGAAGTACAAAAAACTGCACCTATTTAATGTGTATAATTTAATATATGTACATGTATATACAGAGTCTGCCAAAAACTGTATACACACTTCAGGAAAAGAAAAATAGTATGACATTTTTTCAACAGATGCTGCTACTCCTGCATGGGGGACCCTAGAGGATGCTGTATATCACAGAAAACCCACTACACTGCCAACCCTTAGAGAAGAAATTGACAATGCATGTGCAGTAATCTCAATGACCAAGTTTACCCGAGCAGCAGTTCACCGTACTAATAAATGTCTGGAAGCCAATGGCCACCACTTTGAGCACCTCCTGTAATTATAGAGGCCAAAGGTAACTTGTATGAATCTCATGATGTCTCAATACATTTAATATTAAAGTGTTCATACCAGTTTTTCCTTTTCTGAAGTGTGTATACAGTTTTGGGAGAATTTGTATATAGACAGTTGTGAAACCATGGAGCATTAGTGCTTTTTTTTTTTAGGTTTTTGAGACAAGATCTCACTGTGTATGTAGTCCAGGGTGGTCTTGAGCTCACTATGTAGCCCAGGGCTCAACCTCCTGAGTCTTGAGATTACAGGTGTGTGCCACCACACTGGGCTAAGGCATTAGCGGTTTTAAAAAATGATTTATTTTGAAATAATTAGAGATTGTCAGGAAGTTGCAAAACCCCCCACCCAAAAGAAACAGGAAGGTCTCGTGTACCTCTCAGCCAGATTCACTCTCTGATAACATCTTAACTGTACATAGTATAGGATCAAAACCAGAAATTGACATTGGTTCAATTCATAGAACTTATTGGTATTTCACTAGTTTTATATGCACACTGTGTGTGTGAGTTGTGTGTGAGCAAGAGACAGAGAGACAGAGAGAGAGAGACAAAGAGACAAAGACAGACGTGGTTTCAGCTCTGTGTCATGTGCAGGTTTGTGCAATCACCCCCTTGATCAGGATCATCAAGACACAGAACAGTTCCATTGTCGTGAAGCTTGCTTGTGTTTCCCTTCTGGAGTGGTCCCCACCTCGCTCTCACATCCTCTACCTCTGACAAACACGCAATGTTTCCTTTTTCACAGTGTTGTTATTTTAAGAATGTTATGTAAGTGGAATTATACTTTTGAGATTGGCTTTTTTCACTCAGCATAATTCCCTTGGGATCAATTTAAATCATTCTGTGCGTTAATAGTTTGTTTCTGGACTGGGATGTGGCTCAAGGATAGAGTACTTATCTATCATGCAATAGGCTCTGGGTTCCAGCACTACAAAAACAACACAAACCCGAAAGTCAGTTTATTCTGACTGCCTTAGTAGAATTCCATAGTATGGATGCACCTGTTCGTTTAACTCTTAAACCCCATTGAGGAGCATTTGGACCTTTTTAAACTTCTGGCTGTTATGCATTAAGGTGCTACCAACATTTATGTGTAAGGTTTTTTTTTGTGTGTGTGTTGATTGGTTTTCTTTTTTCTGGAATAAGCACCCAAGAAAGCAATGGCTAGGCCATACGACAGTTTTGTGTTTAATTTTTTAAGAAGTTGACAAACTGTTTTCAAGAGCGACTGTGTCATTTTATTTTTATTTATTTATTTTTTGTGAGAGAGGGTCTCACTATGTAGTTCAGGCTAGTCTTGAACTCACTATGTAGCATAGGCTGGCCTCAAACTCACAGTGATTTTCCTGCCTCAGCCTCCCTAGTGCTGCGATTACAGGTGTGTGTCACCACGCCCGGCTATGTTATTTTACATTCCTACCAGCAGTGTGTGACTGATCTAGTTTCTCTGCATCCTCATCAGCACTTAGTGTTGTCATTATTTTCCTTTGAGCCATTCCGATATATGTGTAGCTGTATCTCATCGAACATCTTTTCATTTGCCTATTTGCTATTTGTATATTCTCTTCAGTGAAATGTTTCCCCTGTTGTACATTTTCTAGGTGGATTATTTGTTCTTTTACTGTTGAGTTTTCAGACTTTTAAAAACACATATTCCAGATATGAGCCCTTTGTTGAAACAGTGGTTTAAAAATAATTTCTTCCAGGCTGCAGATTGTGTTTTTATGTGATTAACAGGGTCTTCACAAAGCAAAAGTTTGAAATTTTGATGAGGTCATGCTATTAAGTTTTCATTTTCTGTATTACATCTTTAGTGTCAAGTCCAAGAAGATTTTATACTCTTAGGTCGTGGAGATTTTCTTCTCGGTTTCTTTTAAAACTTATAATTTTTCTTTATACATTTAAAACTGTGATCTATTTTGAGGTTTTTTGGCAGAAGATACGAAGTTTATGTTAAAATTAATTTTTGTTTGTTTTTTTCCTACGGATGTTTCATTGCTTCCGGACCATTTGTTGAAAGGACTTTTCTTCTGTTGAATTGCTTTTGTGCCTTTGTTAAAAAAAAATACTCAGGCATAGTTGTATGGGTCTCTTTCTGAGTTGTTTATTGGTCTCTTACACTGATTTGTGTCAGGCATTACCCTTTCGATGATTAAAATTGCACATAATACCCTTGTGGAGTACCATTGTTTTAACAGAAAAGTGGACCTTATCAAGAAATGTTGTTCCTTGGACTAAAGAAACTAAGCAGTGTTGTTCAACTTAGTTGCCACTAAGGAGGTTTGGGGTTAATATCTGTGATTTTAGGACCTGCAGTGGTTACTATGATGTTTTTTCATTGTTTAGTCTTGCTCATTATTTTCTAACTAATAACACTAGCATTTTGCCTTGGTGGTTCTCCATAGATAGATCTAGTAAACAAGAACTTTCACATTACAGTATAAATATCTTATTATCATTTTTTTGATAACAGCTTTATTGAGAGATAAATCATGTAGCATATCAGTAATTCATCCACTTGAAGTATGTAATTCAGTTGTTTTAGTAGTCAGATTTGGGCAACCATCACTGCAATCCATTTTATTATCATTTTAAGGGAAGATTTTATTACAGTGTAGTTTTTAGGAACCTACAGTAGATTTTGTATCCCTCATGTATTACATTGGTCAGCTTTACTATAATGAAGTACTTGTGAGCTACTGTATAAAGGAAATGGATTTATTTTGACTCATGGTTCTGGAGGTACAAAGTCCAAACAGCATTGTTGAGGGTTGGTGAAGGTCCCCTGAGCTGTATCCCATCATGGTGGGAGGGGATGTGTATTTTCAGATCTTCCTCCCTTTTCTTTTCTTTGTTTTTTTAAAATTTTAACTTGTTTCATTTTTTTGAAACAGGGTCTCGCTATGCAGTCCAGGCTGGTCTCGAACTCACTATATAGCCCAGGCTGGCCTCAAACTCAGCAATCCTTCTGCCTCATCTCCCTTTTCTTGTAAAGCCACCAGGATTGAATCTCGAGGGCCCCTCACTAATGATCTAATCTAATTTAACCACTTTCCAAAAGCAGCAGTACGCACCATGGTCGGATTAAGTTTGCCCCAGCCGTTGCTTCACGAGTTTTCAAACCATGCCATATGTTATGGATGAAGGCAAGTCTTCTTTTCAGTGGAGAAGGCATTTTGTTTGTGTGTTTAGTGTAATAATTTCAATTATGAATTGAAACAGAGGAGATAGTGTTGAGAATGATGGCATACTGAAGTCTTGGAAGGAAAGTTTTACCTGTGTGATAAATTGCTTATTTTGTGATATTTTATTTCTAAAATCTAGCCAAATATATTAATATTTTAAATTCTTGTAACATTTTTTTTTAACGAAACAGAAGCAGAAACAAAAGTTTGTGTAAAATCTTATGATCCAGAAAATAAAGCCCAAAAACTCAAGTTGGATGTTTTTTGTTTGTTTGTTTGTTTGTTTTAGACACAGGGTCTCACTATGCAGCCCAGGCTGGCCTTGAACTCACTGTGCAGTCCAGGCTGGCCTCAAACTCATGGCGATCCTCCTGCCTCAGTCTCCTGAGTTCTGGGATTACAGGTATGTGCTACCATGCCTGGTTGGTTTTTTTTAGACAGGGTCTCTCTGCAGTGCAGGCTGGCCTTGAGCTCACTATGTAGCCTAGGTTGGCATTAACTTGAGATGACCCTCCTGCTTCAGCCTCCTTAGTGCTGGAATTACAGGCATGAGCCACCATGACCGGCAGCATACTATTCTTGTGACTTGAATTTGATTAAAAATTTAAACATAAATATATGTATGATTATGTTTGTATTGCTTGATATGAGATGCTTGTTAAATCTTTTATTTAAATTATTCATACCTAAAATTATTGATAATATGCCAGTAATATGGTGTCTTGGACAGGGAAGATAGAAAAAAGTACTGTACAATAGGATTTCCAGTAGGATGTTTTATTACCAGGCCCAGCCTGTGGCTACAAATTATGCATTGTTTCTCTTCTCTAAAAGTTCACAGTCCCGAATGGTACATGAGAGCCTCAAGGGCCAACGGGATGCACGTCAGGCAAATAGATGGGTGAGAATTTCCAGCGGAGAAATGAGTATGATCGAGCAGTCAGCAGTGCCGAGCAGGATCCTGTGACTGGAGATTGCCCAGTCGTGTCTGCGGTAGGGTTTGCGGTTAGAGGGGTGTAGCGCGAGAGGAAGCTCTCTCTCACTCTCTCTCCTGGTGTTGGGGATTGAAGCAAAGGTCTTGTGTGTGCTAGGCAAGTGCTCTGCCACTAAGCTACACCTCCAGGTGAGGAGCAGTGTTTCTCAAGATTGAGTCATCCGAGTACTACCTCGCTAACTTTGTTTTGGTGGCACTGGGGATTGAAGCCAGGGCTCCGTGCGTGCACAAGCTCTCTACCTCGGAGTGGCACGGTCAGACCCACTCAGCTGGGTGACTTTTGTTGTATCTGAGGCATTGATGTATTATTCATTTTTTTTTTTTTTGGTATCAGGGATCGAACTCGGGTCATTGCTCTTGCGCAGCAGGTGGTGAAACTACTGAGCTAAATCCCTGGCCCAAATTTTAAATCTTTTTTTTTTTTTTGGTACTGGGGATCGAACTCAGAACCTTGTGCTTGCAAGGCAGGCGCCGGAACCACTGAGCGAAATCCCTGGCTGTATTATTCATTTTTAAAACATCCATTGTTTGATTTAGATTTATTTGGAAAGGAAACCAAAATGTCTCAGAGCCACAAGTTTAATATGCTGCTTATATTTTTTATCCATCTAATTTCAAGTAAATGTATAAAGGTACAAATTGTTTTTCTATCTACTGCCTAGAAATCAGCTCTGTATCCCCAGTGGTGTATGTGCTTTGCAGTGGGGAGCAGTGAGATAGGGACCATGGGGGAGGAAGCAACAACAGCTATGTAACTGATAGTTCTTTTAAAGGAGGTACAGCTGGGCGTGGTGGCACAGGCCTGTTATCCCAGCAC